CCCCAAAGGTGCCAATTCCGGTCCTCCCTCCCTGTAGTCTTTTGGGACACGTGGCAGGCCCCAGAAGACTACAGGACCATTCATGAAGTGCAGTGCTACTCGCGCATGCGCAGTGTGTACCCGGCTGTAAAGCCACAAGCTGTCAGAGCCAGGTGCCCACACTGAAGATGCCGGCCTCCTGGAATACAAGATGGCCGGTGAAACGAGCTGTGGGGGACACACCACGGGACCGAGGGACAGGTAAGTGGCTGTTTTTTAAAAATCAGCAGCTACAGTTTTTGTAGCTGCTGACTTTTATTTTTTGATAGGTTGAGTGGAACTCCACTTTAACACGAGGCACCTCATCAGTTAGATGTGAACTTAAAGCTGAGTTCCAATGAAAATAAAAAAAAATAAAAGTCAGCAGTTACAAAAACTGTAGCTGCTCACTTTTAAAAAATGGACACTTATCTGTCTCTCAATCCCGGGGTGTCATCCATCTGTCCCCCCTGCAGCCCGCTTCACTGGCTGCCCTGGGTTCCAGACGCTGGCATCTTCAGCGTGGGTACCCTGCTGTGACAGCTTGCAGCTTCACAGCCGGGTATCCACTGCGTATGTGCGAGTAGCGCTGTGTTTTGTGAATGATCCTGTAGTCTTCTGAGACCTGTCACGTGTCCAACAAGACTATGGGGAGGACAATTTCAGCTTCCGATCGCCTAGGCAATCCCAGAAGTAGGAGAGGGTACCTGTCAATTTCAGGTACCTGCCACCCAGGGGCGGACTGACAACTCATGGGGCCCCTCGGGCAATAGGGGATCATGGGGCCCCTGTGTCCTTGCCCAAACTCAAAAAAGCCTATGAAAAAGGTACCAGGGGCATCTCATGGTGCCCCCTACTGACCCCAGGCCCTCAGGCAGTGCCCAAGTTTCCAAATGGTCAGTCCACCCCTGCTGCCACCCAAAGATGCCAATCCTTAACGGGGAGTGGGGGAGCAGTCCTTACAGAGGAACTTCCCCTTTTGAGTGAAGCTCAGCTTTAAACTTAACTGTGCCTGTGGTGTACATAGCAGGGTGTGCTCAGTCACTTCTGTATGGAGAGCAGCAACTCATCCCTAAAGACAGGTCCAGGGACAACCCTTCACACTTCCTGGACTGCACCTGAAAAGTGTGGTCAGCTCTAAAGTAATCACTGCCTGCCTCTGCACAGGCTCACCACCCTGACTACACCAGCTAACCTCAGCCTCAGCTTTCTCCGCCCACTCAGGAAAGACAAGTAGAAGCTGTCATCCAACTCCAGCCCTCTCCCGTGTCCACCAATCAACTGGTGCGACGTAATCGGAAGCCGTGTCCACATGCTCTGTCTCAGCTTCCGGAGTGTCTGGGAAGAAGGAGGTAGGCTAATGTAGTTGATGTAGTGCGGAGGAAGGCGGTGTGTGGCACAGTTTATAGCAGATTCAGGGAGCCTGGCTGACAGACATATAACGAGCTGTTTATAGGAGTGAGAGTCCCGGGAGGACAGTGCCCTGTGTGCGTCCTTTATTACTTCCCGGCTTTTACAGGGAAACAGAGAAAGTCACTGGCGTTCCTCTTCTGTAAAGGAGATTTCATGATGTCCGTGTGCTCTCTGATTCGCTGTCCCGCACCTGGCACTTCTGCTGTGTAGACGGCGGGGAGTAAGAGGAGATCTGTGCAGAATACCTTAGAACGCGTGTCCCCATTGGAGTTAGGGCTTCATCATTATACAGTGCCGACAGTTCTTGCAGTACATACTGTATAGTCCCCTTTCACAGGGGAGAGGTAAAACTGGCAGTGGAGCAGGGGCGGACTGACCATTTGGAAACTCAAGCACTGCCTGAGGGCCCGGGGTCAGTAGGGGGCCCCAGGAGATGCCCCTGGTACCTTTGTCATAGGCTTTTTTGAGTTTGGGCAAGGACACAGGGGCCCCATGATCCCCTATTGCCTGGGGGCCCCATGGGTTGTCAAACCGCCCCTGCAGTGGAGGTTGCTGTTTTATCCCCCCTTCTTTTGGACCTAAATTCTACAGTTTTAGCCTTGGTTCACGTATATGTGAACTGGATATGTTTTGAACTGTTTGTGAGCCAAAAGCACTTTCTCAGGAGCCAGTTGACGTATGTGAGCTCGGTGCAATGCGATTTGTAAAACAGTCTTGTTCAGGTGCAATTTCCAATGTAAACTGAGCTGCGCATGTGCAGGAGTGACGTCATAGATGTGCACTTTAACAATTCATGTTGGAATTGCACCTGAGCCTCTAAACTAAATTACACCGGACTCATAAATCGCACATATGTGCACCCAGGCTCTGACAAATGGGATTGTATACATGCCACTGCTGCAATGCTTTGCAATTTTAACCCCCCGGTGCCTTCTGGCCCTTTAGGGGGTTTGTGCCGCCAGGAGGCGGGTGGGGTTTAGGGTCATGTGACCGCCGTGATTGGCTGTCACAGCGGTTACATAATCAGCTCCTGACTGCAAGCAGTGATCAGAACCTTCCTTGAGGCACCAGTAAATGTGCGGGGGCGCATATTCTCGGCATGTTTTGTTTACATTGGGTACACAAATATGCAGCACTAAGGTCCAGCCGCTGAGAGGCCGCATATTTGTGTACGCTGGGCACCAAGGAGTTAAAGCAAAACTAAAGCGTTAATACTCATCTTTCCAACAGTCCCTCACTGGCACTGGTATATTCTCCTGTCTGCCAGGTTTTGGCCATCTTCGTTGGCTGGCGCGGGGTGACGTCACTCCTGCACATGCGCAGCTCAGTCTACAGTCCAGTGATCGCTGTGACCAGGCAAGTAGGTGTTTTTTACAGAAGAGACAGTGCATGTCTCTTCTACAATAAAAAAGCCTGCCTGCTCACAGTATGTATCAGAGAAACTCTAGTTCTGCACAGTTTGATCATGTCGGCTGTCCTGTGCTCATTCCTGTATTTTCTCAAGGAGTTGAATTGGCCTTCCCAAGTTTGTAGAGAATAGTATGAGGGATTGTTTAAAGAATGTTACCCTAACATTTCATATTCCTGATATGTGCCTTCTGTACCATGTACATGTGTTAAAAAGTATCCTGTTCTTTGTGTTGCTTCCTTTGTGTGAAATATCTGGTGATTCTGCTAGTCCCCCTGCTTTCCTATTTCAAATTGACCACGCTAAGCATGAAAGCACATCTATGACGTCACTCCTGCACATGCGCAGCTCAGTTTACAGTCCAGCGATCGCTGTGACCAGGCAGGTAGGTGGTGTTTATTGCAGAAGAGACAGTGCATGTCTCTTCTTCAATAAAAAGTCTGCCTTCTCACAGTATGTATCAGAAGAACTCTAGTTCTGCACAGTTTAACAGACAGCACTATAGCTATCACTTTCCCCCCAGCTTTTAGTTTATTTCCCCAAGTTCAAAGAAATAATGTTTCCTTTTAGTTTGTTTTCCGAGCTCCAGGGAAAGTGACAGCTAATTCTGTGAGCTATAGTGAAAAAAAAAAAAAAAAAAGTCGGCAATTGCATTGAAAAATCGACACCGACATATACTTCGTATTGCGCAAAAAATTTGTAAAAAATTTGTAAACCGAGGCATTATAATGAATGGATTTTCATTTGTAAACAAAAATTCCGTTAACCGAGGCGTTCATAAACCAAGGTACACCTGTACATGAAGGTAAAAAGCCTTGAGCCTTTACAACCACTTTGATTGTTAAGCTGCAATATATAAAAATTTTGTTTGGGGGTTAATACACGTCTGGGGTTACAGCCCTGGTGACATTTTTACATTTTGTTGGGTATTCCCTTCACATAATAAGATTTTTAATTTTCCTAGGCTTGTTCCAACAAAGGACTGAAATCTCTATAAATCTGCTGCCACCTTGTGGCCAATAAGGCAGCATTCATAAAGTATAAGTAAACCATAGCAATGAACTTATTTGCCCCCTTTTGGCATTTTATAGCAGAACTCCAACCATTTTCTTTTAGATCACCTCCCCCCTCATAATGAAAAATAAATATTACTAAATTCTGCTCATCTTCTCCAGGCTCCATTGTTGTCCCCAGCTCTTTCCTCAGGCAGGATGTGAGCCCAGCCTGTTTACACTTTGCTAGGAAGGTGCTTCACATTTCTGTAGGTTGGGTTCACAATACTCCAGGACTGAGGAACACACAAGCTTCATTGCATGAGCACCACTTAGTCTGGGAATAATGCCCATCTCTGCTGAGGGAGAGAAGAAAACTGCCTCCAAACCAGCATATACGTGTGTGTGTGTGTCTGGGTAAATAGCCACAGCTCTGCATTAAATATACTGTTTACAGCATTTTTTTATATCTGTTACCTGCAAAAAACCTCTCTTGATCATGTCAGAAAGCTGTCCTGTGCTCCTTACTGTATTATCTCAAGGAGTTGAATTGGCCTTTCCAAGTTTGTAGAGAACAGAATGGGGGATTGTTTAAAGAATATGTTACCCTAACATTTCATATTCCTGATACGTGCCTTCTTTACCATGTACATGTGTTAAAAAGTATCCTGTTTTTCTTTGTGTTGCTTCCTTGCTTTCCTATTTCAAACTGACCACGCTAGGCATGAGAGTACATCCATTCCAGAGTGGTCAGTTTTCTGGCTGTGCTGGGAGCATAGCCTGCCTATCCCTCAATTGTCAAGACTTCTGCTGATACACCACATTGCACAGCTAATCACTGAGAAGATCAGCATACTGCTGTTTCTCCACCCCCAGCTTTCTAAACACCTTATGTAGCTGAGAACAGTGATCATTTTTTTTTAAAAAAGCTGGCAGAGGCTGACTCCACTCAACCACTAAAATGCTGTATGTTGTCGACGCACAACAGGATTTAGGCTGGAGCTGTGTTCATTTCTGGCAGATCAACAGGTGTTTTTCTGTACATGCACATTTCCCCATCTTTTATCCCTTTAAAGAACCTGCAGGCATTGCAGAGATGTACTCCAAATCGTTTGTTTTTTTGTTTATATTTTGGTCTGAAATTATAGTTTCTGGCTGCTCCTATCAACATGTCCTCCAAAAGTCTTGGGAACACCAACGTCCAGCAGGCCAATTTGGAAACAGGTTGTGCACCCAGGCATGACAGCGACGACGACTATGAGGAGGAGGTAAGAGATGAACAGCCGAACTGGTTATATTTTTAAAACATTAAACATTTAAAGTAAAATGTATTTGTCTGTGTGTTACTTCAGTTCTGGAATAAAGTGAAGCTTGTGTTGCAATACAGTATCATACTTGGAATCCTTTACTCCTGTTCACATCTTACATTTTGGGATCTCAGGCAGAATCTCTGCAATTCTGCCTGAGATATCAAATCACACTGTAATAGTGGCAACATGCACAATTCGTGTTCCGATGCCATTCCTTTTCAGTGGCACCAAAATATGGTGTGGTTTTGCTGTGCAAAGCTTGTTGCCTAAAAGAAGCTCCTGCTCTTTTTTGGGTGATAAGGTTTGCACAATAAAGTTTGCCGTGTGGCAATCACGGCAGCACCACACTGTGTTTAGGTGCCTTTGAAAACGAATGGCACAAGAACACGCATAGTGCTTTTTGCCACGATTGCAGGCAGAATCTCAGTGATTCTGCCTGAGATCCCAAAATGCCAGATGTGAACGGGGCCTTAATGGATTCTTATCTAGGCTGCATGCTGCTTTGCAGCTCTCAAGACTCACCATTGAAATATTATACAGGGTGTCACTAAAGTCTGGACACATAGGAAATATTAACTAAAATATCATTATCATTAATATTTTTTTTTAATATGCGTTTTGCCTGTGTCCAGACTTTAGGGACACCCTGTATAGTACTTTAGAAGTGTGGGTGTTTTAATCATTGCCAGTCATGCATTGTCGTTTACATTGAAACATACACAGGGCTTTTGCCCTATTGAAAATGATAGTTGTCTTTGGTTTTAGTACTTTGAGTCACTAATCAGCAATAAGCATGCAGGGTATGAAGTCGTAACCCTTAAATTGCTTACCCCTGTAGTCTGGGTCCCATTTATTATTTTTTGGTGCATTGATGCATGTTGACATGCTTCTTATTAAGGTAGGCCAATAATATCGATAAGCTGCCAGTATATCAAATGTCCAAAAAATTGGATGTGTTACAGAATTTCTAAATGCAGTGAAACACACTATGGTGTGCTGCAGCGCATGGTATTGGGTGCCTTTCAAAATGAATAGCCATGCAAGTGACATGCTTTACTTCGGCACATTTGTCTAAATGGACCCTCAGTGATTTATAAAGCAAGTATGAGAGGCAGGTAGTATATTCAGAAAGGTGTCAGCAGTACCAGTACCCACATTTCACTCATGACAGGTTTGCTTATAAATACAATTTTTTTTTATAATATTTAGCACAGGTAATGACAACTACATCCATTGCTGATTTCCTGCCAAATATTATGATTTGCATTGCTGCATTGCTATCTCTTTCAGTGTTTTCTTGTAATTAAGAACCAGAATGCAGCATGTGAAGTCTGGTGTTTTCTGGGTCAGAAACTGGGACCATATTGAGTTACATGACAACTAATATCTTCAAAAGGAGGTCAGCAATGGGGACCTGTGTATTTTCCCATTACAGGTTTTCTTCAAATGTATATTAGCTGTTAGGTAATTGCTTAAAATAAAGGTTTTATTTCCTTATTTTCAGGAACATTTGGTGTCGGTGGAGTTAACAGGAATTATAGATTCAGACATTTTGGAAAAATGCAACAACAAATGTAAAATTTTGGTAAGATACTTGTGGGCTAAACAAAAATGTTTAAATCTTTGTAAATAAATGTGTGTGTATTTGCTGTTAAAGCAGTGGCTGGTCAAGGAAATGTAGTACAGCAGATGGAAGGCACATCTGTCCAGTGGCACTATGAGCTCAGACTTGGCAGAAATCAATGGGGCCCTTGTCCACCCATCTACAGTCTGGATAGATGGGCATTACAAGGATGGTTCGCTGCAGGCAACAGTGAAGCATGGTGGAGGTCCCGTGCATGTTTGGGGCTGCATTTTTGCATTTAGAATCGTGGATTTGGTGAGAATTAACAGTCTCCTATTGCTGAACTTGATGCTGATTCTTCATGCAATGTCATCACCGAGGTCCAAATTCATTCTGCAGCAGGACAATGACCCCAATCATACACCCAAAGTCACAAATAACTATCTTTAGTGAATGAAGAACGAGGAGTTCTGAAAGAGCTGGTATGGCCTCCACAGAGCTCTGTTCTCTACTTCATTTAGTCTCTCTGGGGTTACATGAAGAGGCAGAAGCAACTGAGGAAGATCTTCTCAAACTATTGACCTAACTTATGAAGTGTGTCCCATGTTGTACAGGCAGCTGGATCCTTTAGAAATCATCTGTGGAGGGATGCCATGTTCTCATCCTGCTTCTGTACTTCTACAGCTTGGGAGTAAGGTGGAATGGGGTTGGGGTCAATAGTCTAAAGACTTTTGTGAAGCTATGGTGAACAAGCTCCTGACAGGGACCTACCTCCTCCTTTTCTATTAGGAAAAGTTGTTTCATAGTGTACACTGCCAATAACAGAATCTGTGACTACATAGACTATCCTGCATGCAATGTACACTTTGAAATAACTTTTCCCAGCGGAGGAAGGGGCAGGTCTCTGTTGGGAACATGTTCATATTAGACTTGAAACTGCTAACTTCTGCAGTGACAAACATTCAACAGCAGGAAGAAGGCAGGAATCCCTACACAGATCGCAACAGTATTCAGTTGCCTATACAGTGTGGGACCTACTTCATTACTGGTAAGTTAGGCCAATAAAGCTAGAGTTTTTTTTTTTTTTTTTTTTTTGTTTTTTACCACCTCTTTGAACTAAACTTCAGCTTTAATGTGGATGTCAGGAGTCTGCGGCTGAGATAGCCAGATCTGTGTAACTACACAAGAAAACTGGGACCAGACCATATATAGTGAGATTTATTTACAGTGAACAAGAGATCACCACACACCAGCAAACAGTAAATATAAAATACATGAGAATCAAAATGACAAGATGCCTAACAAACTAACTATAGATATGATGTACACAAAAGGGGGGGGGGAGGTGGGCAGAAATCAATTAGGTGAACAGAAGATGCAGGGAGCAGAGAGGCAGGATCAGGGTCAATATCAGAAAAAATGGCAACAGGGTCCGCCAGCAGCAAAGTAAAACTAGGACCAGGGCAGGAGCAGCCAAAACACTGATGCACAGGGGTTATTTACTAAAATCAGAGAATGCAAAATCTGATGCAGCTCTTCACAGAAATAAGATTTCAGGTTTTATTGCCAAAGCTTAATTGAACAAAGTGATGCTAGAAACTGATTGCAGAGGCGTAGCTAGAAGCCTGTGGGTGCCAACCAATAGAAATGTTTCCCTGGATCACCCCCCACTACACGGCACGCCAAGATACTCCCATAATGCATCAAGATAATCCAAGTGGCTGAAGAGTTTTTTCAGATCTTTATGTATATATTGAGAGGGTAATTCAAAAGAATTGGAAGATATATCAAAATGTGGACTGTTTTTTTTTTCCAAAATCTTTTGAATACCCTGGAGCAGGGGTAAGCAACCTTTGAGAGGTGGAGATCTCCTGAACAACATGAAAGCGATCAAAGATCACCAGAGTTCAGCTCCTTTTTTTTTTTTTTTTTTTTTTTTTTTTTTTTTTTTTTTTTTTCTGTAACTGCTGATGAGAAGCTATTTAACAGTTTATATTTACTAAAATAATTGCACTTCCATGTTCTGTGTAAGACCAGATATAGTGAATGCAGGGTCCTGGGTTTAGTAACACTTTTTCCTTTTTTCACCTGGTAGCCATGCCAGTAACACACTTTGTCCTAGGGTGACAGTGCTTGATCATTCACTTATCTGCATCTGTGGAGGAGCAGCATGGTCACCTTAGGCTGCTCGCTTCTGTTTTGCACTATGGAACACCACTCCCTCTCTGTAACATAGGGGAAATGTGTTATCTAGTTCCCAGAAGATAACTGGTAAGAATTGATAATGGTGCTTTAGATTTCAGTGCAGTACAGAAAATTAAGAGCTCACTGGTTTCTGGTTGGATCAAACAGTTTTATTTTTTTTATTTTTTTTTTTTTTTTGCACTACATAGGCAGATAAACAACCTTTTAATAGCTAATAGAACAAAAGGGAGCACATAGGAGAAGTTTATTGCTGGCATTTACATACAATTTTCACGTTCAAAAACAACTTTATTCAAAAATTGTTGTAATGTACATACAAATATGTGCATATATAAAATCAGAGAGGAGGAACAAACAAACCAATTGAGCATGGTATCAAATTGACATTGACTTTAACAGGTAAAAAAGTATAAAATGTACAAATATAAGCTGTGAATTCCATGATTGCAGAGGGCGAAACTATAAGTAGGAAAATGGGTCTATAATGTAGGAATGATATAATGTCTCCAAGGCAATAAGGGAGAAACACAGGCATCTGGTAATGCAAGCCATCTGTCTCACACCTTATTATAGTTAGAGGGGCAACCTTAGTGAAGGTAAATAAGCTTTTTACAGGGAAGTGTGAGATTCAACTTGTGCACCCAAGATTCCAGCGGGGGTGGGGTGGGCCTGCATCCAGTTCTTGGCTTATGGGTGGCGAATTTCGTGAAGGAATGTAGTTTTGAATTTAATTTATCCCGTATTGGGATCTGGTAAGTGGACTATCAAACTTATTGTGGGGTCTAGAGTTAAAGGGGAACCCATGTGATCATGTAAGAAACAGACAACCTGGGCTCAATAGGTTTGACTGACAGGGCAGGACCATATAAGATGATAGAATGTACCCACTTGCACCGTGCAAAGATGGCATACTGGGCTGTAAGAGGGCTTATATTGGGATACACGAACTGGAGTTGTGCAATATATACAGAGTTAACTGGTCAGAAACCTTAGGGGATACAAGCTTATAATTGTCTAGTATTTCTTCCCAATCATTATCCTCCAGTTCACCCAGGTCCAATTTCCATTTTGTTTTAACCCTGTGGGCCAGCTTAGTAGAAATTTGGATCAACAATGTAGTGTATATGGCAGAGATCAATTTGTCGGGGTCCCAACCTACAATTATCTCCAATAGGGGTAATAATAGCCATGGAAATTGAGCCCATAGTGCATGGCATAGCTGTAAATGGTGGAACAGCATGGAGTTGGGAACAGAGAATTGGGACTGTAGTTCTACAAAGGTTTTTAGAGGTGTTGAACAACTGGAGTAGATATAGGACCCGACTGGATGCCCATAAAATACTATCTGGGAATTGTAGCATTTCTGGTAGGCTATGATTGAGCCACAGAGGGGTATGTGTGTGAAATGAGAGCTCGCCAATGCCAGCTCCCAAATACGTTGATAATATAAGATGCTAGACCTGGTAAACTGGAAGCCCAGACTTCGAGCACTCAGAATAATGGCTTACAAGGGTGTATGAGCTGGGTGAATCGGATGGCCGCAGACCAAAGCCTGGAACCTCCCCAGATTTGTTTTGTCGAAATGGTAAAAATGGGATAATTGAGCAGCCGTATAAGTTAAAACTAGTAGGGCAGCACCTCCTAGGGAGGCTGGATTCTTTAAAACCAATCACGGTAATATATGCCTACTTGTTCCCCATACAAAAGAGTTTAATATAGAATCAATGGTCTTGAGAATTTTAAGAGGTAAGTATATAAGGGAATGCCAAAAGATATATAATGAATTTGGTAATAAAACATTTTAACCAGATTAATCAGTCCCATAACACCTAGTGGTAGTCTTGCCCATGCTTGAGTTTTTGCTTGAGTAATGCAAAAAGGGGTTCAATATTAAGAGGGATATAATCTTGAATATAAGGGGATACTTGCACTTGCACTCCCAGATAGCGAATTGAGGCTACTCTAGCAAGTGGTGCACTGGCCTGTTCAGCTGAAGGCTGAAAGTGTTCAAGGGGGTAGAATTTGGGATTTATCCCAGTTTATATGTAGGTCTGAGTTGGTCCAATTGGTCAATCGTATTCAGTGCTGAGGCTAGTGAGACGCCCAGGTCTGCTCGATATAGAATTGTGTCATCAGTGTACATGCCCACCGTTTCCAAGGCCTTGGACCTGGTCGTGTAATCTAATCGAGATATCCAAAGGCTCTGTCGCTAGGGCATACAACAGAGGGGAAAGTGGACAACCCTGTCTGGTACCTCGACTCAAAGGGAAGGGGTCTAACACCCAATCATTGACGGATACTTGGGCTACTGGGGACTGGTGTAGCAACTTTACCCACTTCATGCATTTAGGGCCAAAGCATTTTTAAACATTCCCATAAGTATCCCCTTTCAACAGAATCAAAGGCTTTGGCAGCGTCCAGTGCCACTGCCACTCTAGTACCAACCCCGTCATGCATTGCCTGTATGATTCATGAAAGATCACCTGATATTAATTGCAGTATTTTTGCCTGGCATGAAGCCCATCCAGATGGGCTTCATGCCAGGCAAAAATACTGCAATTAATATCAGGATGAACTAGCGATAGAATAACCTGATTCAAACTGGAAGCTAGTATTTTAGCCACAATCTTTACATCCACTTATAGCACGGAGATTGGATGATAAGATTCTGGAAGGGAGAGATCCTTGCTGGGTTTTGTAAGGACAATAAGCAGAGCTTCATGCATGTTTGAAGGTGAAGTTGCAGTTTTAAAGATGTCATATAATGTAAGTAGATGTGGGAAGATGGCGTCGGCATATGTGGCATAAAATTCAAGTGGCAGCCCATTGGATCCAGGGGCCTTTGCAGAGGTCAGTTCAGACTCTGCCATAGCGATCTCATCCAAAAGGGGGGTCACCTGATCAAGTGTCAACTTGGGGAAGTTTAAAAATGTGTGGTATTCTTTCATGGCCTCAATAGCGTGTGTCGTTTTGGGAGGGGTATAACCTACAGAAAAACATTTTAAATTCTGTGGCAACCAAATGAGGGTCCATAATTAGTGCCCCATCTGGGCATAGTCCTAGCATGGAGCTTAAAGTTTCCCACACTGCTCCAAAGGAGGCAGTTGTGGTGCTGATAGAGAAGAAATATTGCCGTTCTTGGGACAGTGCCTCTGGGACTCCCAGAGCAGTCAGCCAAAAGGGGTTTAGATGCCACATGAGCCTGGTTAATGGGGGACCTATGGCTAACACTTCCCAGTATGGAGAGTGAATGGATAAAAGTCTAGGGCTAAAGCCTGCATCCTCCAGTATGGGAAGCAAGATGTGGTATAGAATAATCAAATCAGTGTGAATGGGTAGTGGAGAAACAGGAATAGGCCCTGTGGGAGGGGTATTTAAAGAACCAGGAATCTGGTTTACATACATTTTAAGCTCTGTGTCTCTTTTTTGGAAAGCATGCAGGCCTTTACACAATATTAACTTTTCCAACAGTGAAAAACCTTCTCATCTTTGTCTCCTGACTAAAATATCTTACTTCTCAGGGAAATGCAGGTCATGGTAATTACAAGCCAGTGGGAAATGTTTCGACTAAGCAACCTATATTGACAACTACTTTACATAAAGTAGTGTCTGCTCCATTTTTTCATTTTTGTTTTTCCTTTTCTTTCAGGGTATCAACACAGAGAGAAGCCCTTTTTACAAGTTGACAAATATGTGTTTGCAGGAGAATATGAAGGTAAAATTCTAGTTGTGCTTGTCTGTACCTCATTTTGCTGTGTTCTAGCAGGCTTTGTTGTAGCTTTAATTGTTGTATAATATATTGTCTTTTTTTTCTAGATGCTTTGGGCACTTGTGTTATCTTTGAAGAAATTGTAGACCAGGGTATGTTAAAGCATAGTTTTGTTGACTTAGTTTATATGATGTATGTTGTGGTGAGGAAATAGATTTTGTACTCCTTTTAACATTCTTTGAAAGAGTCTGGGTGAAAAGGGTACACAGGGTGTTAGGATGAGAGATATATGCTGGCCAGAGTACAGACTGGGGTGGTCGTGGGCCCCAAGGAAACCTTGGGGAAGGGAGGTCAGTCCCTCTTTAAGAAGCTGATCATAAGATTCTGCTTTTGGGCTCAGAGTTTGGACTGTAAAAGGGTTTGAGTGGAACTGTAGCTTGGCCACCCCGCTCCATCCTTCATCCTCCACTTTGACAGTGCTTGAGCCTGGAAATCAACTGTCATAAGACTGGGGGTGATGTCACAGGCAAATATATTAAAGAAACAAACATATAAATGTATAAAAAAATTATTCTTTAATAAGGTTCATTACTCTCACATTTTGTAATTGTAAACGTCATTTAGAGATTCAAAATAAGACTGTTGCTTAGCATTATCTGTGAATTGAAAAAATCTATATGGTCTTTTTTTTTTGTTTTTGTTTGCATATCTGCATTATGTTTCCAAACTTGACTAGGTGTAAATGGCAAAGTGGGTGCTATGATGCACCTCACCCTGGCCATACACTAGAAGCATTTCATTCTGCATTTTCTGTTGTGGAAAGTTTGTTTTTTTTTTTTTTGTTTGTTTTTTTTTGTTTTGTTTTTGTTTTGTTTTTTTCTTCTCTTATTTTCCAAAAATTAGTGGAGTTAAATGTATGCTCGTGTGCAACTGCCCTAACAAATTATTATTGTACAGGATTTATATAGTGTCAACAGTTTACGCAGTGCTTTGCAGCATAAGGGCAGGCAGTACAATTAAAATACAATTTAATACAGTAGGAATCTCTCAAAGGAACAGGATGGAATTTATTTATTGTTTTTCAAACAAATTTGTGAATGTTGAACAGTGAATGTGGAAATTGTTTTGTAAATGCTAATCATTTCAAAACTGAGTAATAAATGCAGATGAAATTTTAAGGTACTTTCAGGAAGCCATCAGGTATTCTGATGAGAATTATGATATGAATGTTCCTTCAGAAATCTACTAGCGTACAGCCAGCTTTAGTGTTGCTTATAGAGGTGTAATAAGACAAGAGATGCGAACATGGGCCTGGTGCTTTTTGACCATACAAGTGTTAAACTACATAAATTTACATATAAAAGAATCCGTTTTTAAGACACCACCAATGCGTTAATAGTAAGTTGCTGGATGAAGGTCCAATCCTTTTTGCTTTTGTACAGTTTAGGATTTGCCTTGAACACTGAGAAAACAAACAGCCGCAACACAGTTCTAAACCTAAAGTCTGCTTTATTTTTCAGCAAACACAAAATGGCATTTCCTTCAGCATCAGTGTAAACAAAACAAGTTATGGCTTCTTCTGGCGCAAACAGTTTCACAGGTTTAGTACATGGGGCTCATCAGCCAGGTTAGAGAGTTCAAGACAGGCAACCCAGTGTGGCAGCTTTTCCTTTGGAGTCAGGCTTACAAACAGCTCTCTCCTCTTCAGACACAACATAAAACTCCTGTTTCTCTGAGCTCACGTGTTTCAATAGGCAGGGCTGTAGGGAAAGTATTTGCCCTCCCATTTTAATCCTCTGATAGCCCTGTCATAGACTGACTTTCCATAAATGTATATATCTTCTCCTTTCAGTCCTTGCATAGAATCTACCTGTCTGTTCCTGTATCCCACCGGAAACACCTTAGTGCATAGGCCTTCTCATATTTATCTCCAATAAAGACAGCCAAAGAAAAGGGCTGACATACTATGTACAATGCTGAGAATTCTTGGGAAAAACAATTTTGTAATAATTGGTAGTTGTGACAATTTTCATGGATGCCCATATTTTATTTTCTTATTGTCTGCTCTACATAGTTACCTATCTTTCTTACATAGGAGATGTAGATAGTGCAAAACCAAAGCTGAAGTACAAATGCCACACTGTAAAGAAACTAAATATGACCAGGACGTTTCTAACAGAAAAAAAAGAAGGTGATGATGGAGGTCAGTATTTATTTGGATTCATTTAGAAATCTTATACTTGTAAATTGTGTTTTTTTTGTTTTTTTGTTTTTTTTTTTTGTTTTTCAGCGCAGTGTCTTCCCATTGTGACAAATATGCTCCTAGGTGAATGAGAAATGGGGGAGACAATATTATGTTTAGATTACTCGATACTTGTATACCCCTTAACTCTTATTTCATGGAGCTGTTATTCATTCAATTCCATTTTTCTTATCCACATGTCTTGCTTAAAAGCATTTTTTGGCCCCAACCTTTCAGATGAGGCATGTTCCTCTCACTTGTCTGTGTCCCTGGCCATTAATGACAAAATTGCACAACTATATATGCTACCTCTGTCCTATCTAACCCTGGTCAGGCTTCATGCCATGCACCGAATACTTGCTCTAAACTTCACTAGTTGTGACTGCCCAAGAGCTGACTTCACTTGTTATCTGGCTGTGCCCGGTCATTGCCAGATATTGGCAATCAATATTTTATCCACTGTACTATCTGTTCCGGTGCCATACACCCCAGAAGTATGTCTGCTGGGTATCTTAGATGAGGAACTATGGCTGATTAGTAGATTGCACTATGTCTGATTTTATACTTTACACTGAGCTCAGGAAAAAGGTTGGATATCAACCTTGACAGTGAATGTCTTATTTTTATACATATGTGCGCTTATATATTTGCTGTATATTTGTCTGTGCACCAAAGTTTGTATTTCTCTCAGCCTATGCTGTATCATGTTTTATGTACCTCTGTTCTGCATCTTCATCAATAGAGTTAAAGTTCAGTATATTATGGATTTAAGCATCTTGTTCACAAATCTTGTTTGTTGTAGGAGGAAAAATAGAATGGTTCCAGATCAAAGAAGACAGCAATGCTAGCTGGCCTCAGATGATATGCAGCTTTGCTCAGGAAAATGAGGAAGCAGATGACTCTGCAAGTGAAGACGACGACAACCATGAGCAGTTAAATGAAGCAACGGAGGATGTTGAACAGGCAGAGCAGAGTCTTGATCCAGGTGAAAAACAGCACTCTAAGGAGAAGGGCAAATCTACTTTGGAGGGGAAGGAACAGTCAGATTCCGTGAGAAAGGTACACAAGGAGGACCAGGAGCATATGGACACTGACAAAGTAGACAGTGGTACAGACAAACTGTCATGTAAGACAGAGCAAGTTAAGGCGCTCATCTGAGGGTTTTTGATGTGCTCAATAAGAAGACAAAATATGCCCAGAGCAAACAACCTGAATGTTCCCATACACACTGCTTCTGACAGCCTTTTAAACAAAGCTTTTTTTTATGTATGTTTTCACAAAGACACTGTTAAAAAAAGAGTGCTTGACATTAATGGCAGCTAATAGCCAAATATGGGAATTTATAGTTGTATAGTAATTGAATTCTGTAGGATCCATAAGAATAATTGTCTGACAGCTTTCTGAAATTATTATTTCTGTGTATGGTAAATCCACCCAAACCTATAATTTTACATTGTGACGAAGGTGGCTAGCACTGACCACTCTCTACATAAAGAAGGGGGAGAAGAGTGGGAATTACAAATCCCTGGACCTCTACACCGGCTGTGTGAGCAGTGACAGCTCTTCACCCATGAAGGTAAGTACAGTGGGGACTAAGGGGGTTGGGGAGGCTGTAAGGTGTTAGTTCACCTTTTTTCATTTTTTTCTGAAAGGGTGAGCTAATATTTTACCATTTAAATTTGAATAGCTAGCTTTCTTTGACCTCAGACTGCAGATTAATATTCCATTGCTCTTTACTGCAGGTACATTACTCAACATCCCCTCTTTGACAGGTAACAGCCAACATTTTTGTGTGTGTTTCCTGTAAAATCTGGTTGTCGCAATCGCCTATATTCCCCACTAAACCCCGGTCACACCGGGTGTGACATGGCATGTGATTTTGCATGCCCTGCGACTTGCAAATCATATGCCAAGTCGTGCCCTCTTGTCCACTATTAGAGCGGTCATATCGTTGCGGAGCCGCACCGATTTCTAAAGTACTGCATGCACTACTTTTGTTGCGATTTGCATAGACATCTGTGTTAGATGTCTTGCAGATCGCAATGAAATCGGCAGGTCACCCAATTTTGAAAATCGTGCAACTTCACTGTAAGGCGCATGATTTCAAAATCTGCTTTGATGTGACCGGGGGGTAACTATGTCAGCTATAAGTGATCACATGCAGGCTTCATTCACAAAGTAAGCCTTCAGATGTTGCTGCAGCCTAAAGATTCCAGTATGCATCTGTTAGACACAACTTCAGCATTAAAAATTAATGAATTGAAAAATAAAAGTTTAAAAAATACACATTTTCAAGCCTATAATAAAAACCAAGAATTGTTATTACAACAGTACACCAAATAAAAGCCATTTACGCTTGTATTCTTATACAAGAAAAGACTTGAGTGTGCAATTAGTCAGAGTTACAGCTAAGTTAACCAACATATGCTGATTTACCTAAACATGGCCTGAGCAATCTTGGCTTCAGTGACCTCTAGTTGAGATAAGGTTAAATATCTGTTCATGCATTTATATGGGTGCCCAACCACAAGAGTATAACAATAGGACTGTGCGCTCTAATATGTAATTTGGGCAAAATGTAACAAGCTTGTAACATATACAAGCTTCGGATATTTCATATTGAAAATGTACTTGTTACTATTTGTGACATTAGTAATTTTGTATAAACAATTAATTAAATACCTATTGTGTTTAATTTTTTGTGTTTTAACCTTGTAGGGGGCTGTTAATGTTACTGCACCTGTCACTTAGGACAGGTTCCTGTAAGGTTAAATAGTATTGTTGGCATAATTGAAAAAATACTGCATGCTTATAAAATTATGTGCTTTCCTATCTTTTCTGTGAATGGGGAAAAAAACTAGTTATTGGCTAAAAAGAAAAATGTATTCTAAATCTATCACATTTCAGTACAGTTATCATTGCAACACGTACCAATGTTGCACAGCTTATTTTTCTGCACACACACATTATCCCACATATTGGTGGCAATGGCATCATTTCACCACTGGGTGTCAGAAACTGTATGTGGTGTGATGAAAAATATTTTTAATGCTATGAGAGTTCAGTATCCCTGAGGATACTTGAGCAACTCAGGCATTTCTGATGCATTCCTCAGATTGTAGATGACAAATTCATAAAATGTGTGTATGTACAGTGCCTTGAAATTTTCCACATTTTGTCATGTTGCAACTAAAACATAAATGTATTTTATTGGGATTTAATGTGATAGACCAACACAAAGTGGCACATAATTGTGAAGTGGAAGGAAAATGATAATTTTTTTTTTAATAAATATCTGAAAAGTGTGGCGTGCATTTGTATTCAGCCCCCCTTAGTCAATACTTTGTAGAGCCACCTTTCGCTGCAATTACAGCTGCAAGTCTTCTTGGGGACGTCTCTACCAGCTTTGCACATCTAGAGTGAAATGTTTGCCCATTCTTCTTTTAAAATAGCTCAAGCTCTGTCAGATTGGATGGAGAGTGTCTGTGAACAGCAATTTTCAAGTCTTGCTACAGATTCTCAATTGGATTTAGGTCTGGACTTTGACTGGGCCATTCTAACACATGAATATGCTTTGATCTAAACCGTTCCATTGTAGCTCTGGCTGTAGTTTAGGGTCATTGTCCTGCTGGAAGGTGAACTCTCCAGCCCAGTCTCAAGTCTTCTAAGATTGCCCTGTTATTTGTCTCTATCCATCCTTCCCATCACTCTGACCAGTTTCCCTGTCCTGCTGAAGAAAAGCATCCCCACAACATGATGTTGCCACCACCATGTTTCACGGTGGGGATGGTGTGTTCAGGATGATTGCAGTGTTAGTTTTCCATCACACATAACGTTTTGCTTTTAGGCCAAGAAGTTCAGTTTGGTCTCATCTGACCAGAGCACCTTCTTCCACATGTTTTCTGTGTTCCCTACATGGCTTCTCACAAACTGCAAGCGGGACTTCTTATGGCTTTCTTTTAGCAATGGCTTTCTTCTTGCCACTCTTCCATAAAGGCCAGATTTGTGGAGTGCACGCTAATAGTTGTCCTGTGGACAGATTCTCCCACCTGAGCTGTGGATCTCTGCAGCTCCTCCAGAGTTGCCATGGGTCTCTTGGCTGCGTCTCTGATTTAATGCTCTCATTGCCCAGCCTGTCAGTGTAGGTGGACGGCCAGAGGTTTGCAGTTGTGCTATACTCTTTCCATTTTCGGATGATGGATTGAACAGTGTGCTCCATGAGATGTTCAAAGCTTGGGATATTTTTTTTATAACGCATATAATCCCTGCTTTAAACTTCACAATTTTATCCCTGTCCTGTCTGGTGTGTTCCTTGGCTTTCATGATGCTGTTTGTTCACTAATGTTCTCTAAAAACCCCTGCAGAACAGCTGTAATTATAATGGGATTATATTGCACACAGGTGGACTCTATTTACTAATTAGGTGACTTCTGAATGCAATTTGTTCAACTAGATTTTAGTTAGGGGTATCAGAGTACAGGGGGCTGAATACAAATGCACGCCTCACTTTTCAGATATTTATTTGTAAAAAAAATGTTAACACCATTTTTATAATTTTCCTTCCACTTCATAATTATGTGCCACTTTGTGTTGGTCTATGACATAAAATCCCAATAAAATAATTTGTTTTTCGTTGTAACATGACAAAATGTGGAAAATTTCAAGGGGTATGAATACACTTTCAAGGCACTGTATGTGTATATATATTCTTAAGCCTTTGTGCACAAAGGCAGTCCTATCTCTTTAACCTCCGAGAAATTGCAGAGTGCATAAATCAAAATGAACAAAGACAGTAAAAAAAACAAAAAGTAGGACAGAACCTCATCAATTTGATGTGTCCTTTTAAGTATATTGCCTTTAGCTGTTGGCACCATTTGAAATGGAATCTAATGTTTGTTCAAATATGTTGCAAAAGTCAACTATTTCCATGGGTTGTTCTTATTAGATTTTTTTTACATGACTGTGTATATATAGTGCTGTGAAAAAGTATTTGCCCCCTTCCTGATTTTATTTAATTAAATTTTTTTGCATGTTTGTCACATTCAGATCAAGCAAATTTTAATATTATACAAAGATAACCCAAGTAAACACAAAATGCAGTTTTTAAATGATTTCATTTATGAAGGGAAAAAAGCAGTGAAAAAGTAATTGTCCCCTAAACCTAATTGGGGGCAACAACTGCAATCAAGCATTTGAAATAACTGGCAATGAGTCTTTCACATCACTGTATAGGACTTTTGGCCCACTCTTCTTTGCAGAATTGTTTTAATTCAGCCACATTGGAGGGTTTTCGAGCATGAAACTGTTTAAGGTCATGCTACAGCATCAGAAGTCCAGACTTTGACTGGGCCACTCTAAAACCTTAATTTTGCGGTTTTGAGCCCCTCAGAGGTGGACTCGCGAATGTGTTTCGCATCATTGTCCTGCTTAATCCAAGTGTGGTCACGAACTGATGGCTGGACATTCTCCTTCAGGATTTTCTGGTAGAGCACAGAATTCATAATTCCATCAATTATGGCAAGCCATTCAAGTCCTGAAGCTGCAAAGCAGCCCCAGACCAACACACTACCACCACCATGTTGGACTGTTGGTAAGATGATCTTTTTATGAAATGCTGTGCTAGTTTTATGCCAGATGTAACGGGATGCACGCCTTCCAAAAAAGTTAAACTTTTGTCTCATCAGTCCACAGAATATTTGTCCAAAAGTCTTGGGATAATCAAGATGTTTTTTTGCCAAACGTGAGACAAGCCTTTTGTGTTCTTTGTGGTCAGCAGTGTCTTTTGCCTTGGAACTCTCCCATGGATGCCATTTTTTTGCCCAGTTTCTTTCTTATTGAATCCTGAACACTGCCTTCACTGAGGAAAGTGAGGCCAGCAGTTCTTTAAATGTTGTTCTGAGTTCTTTTATGACCTCCTGGATGAGTTGTTGTGCTCTTGGAGTAATTTTGGTAAGCTGGCCACTCCTGGGAAGGTTCACCACTGTTCCACAGTTTCTGCATTTGTGGATAATGGCTCTCACCGTGGTTGGCTGGAGTCCCCTTTGTCACAGTTTCACTTTGTCAGACAGTTTCTATTTTGCTGATTTCTTGATTCATCAGGTCTGGTAGTAATCAGGCCTGGGTGTGGCAAGTGAAATTTAACTCCGTTTTCTAAAAAA